CATCAGGCACTGTCTCCCTGGTAATTTAATTCTTAAATATTCCTAAACTGAGGCCATCCTGGGAGCAGGGGGTGTTACAGTGACTGCTCCTCACATACCTCCTCCAAATCCACTCTGCCCATTCCTGGACACAGGAATAGCAATCCCAGGCCAGTCAGTGCCTGTTGGCATCAGCTTGTGGTGGGTTTTCGTGGGAGCAGAGGCACAGGGAGCACCTGACTTGGGAATTTACGCTCTAAGGAAGGAGTAGATCCCACCTGTGGAAGTGTCCAAGGCCAAGCTGGATGGGGCTTGGAGCAACCTGAGAGAGTGGAAAGTGTCCCTTCCCATGGCAGGGGGTGGGACTGGATGGGCTTTAGTATCCCTTCCAAACCAAATCATTCTGGGATTCTATGATTTTATGGGTAACAAGGATATCATCGTTAATAAGAACAATGTATTTTAAAGAAGGGAAAAGGAAATGGCTCCGAGACTTTGCTTGAGGGCAGAGCTTTTGTCTGTTTGTCTGGGGAGAACCACGTTATTCCCCCAGTTCCAAGGTTCTTTCGTCTTGTGGTTTGTGCGTCTCCTGATGCAGCTGATCCCGTGGGAAGGAGGCTCCGTGCTGATCCACTGCAGGGCTCCTGATACGTCCCAAAACATCAATCTTTTATCACCCTCCTCTCCCCAGGCAGGTGCTTCACCTGCATCTGCCTCAGCACGGGATCCACACCCATTGTCCAGGTTTATCCATGGGCTCCTCATGGCCCCAAGACCCCCATATTGCCCTCCTCCCCTCAGTGCCCCTCCTGTGCCCAGTGCTGCTCCCACCTCGGAGCACAATTCCAAAGAGGAGCAGCTGAGGGAGCTGGGAAGGGTCTGGAGAACTCCTGAGGAAGCTGGGGGGGCTCATCCTGGAGAAAAGGAGGCTCAGGGGGGACCTTCTGGCTCTGCAAGTCCCTGCCAGGAGGGGGGAGCCGGGGGGGGTCGGGCTCTGCTCCCAGGGAACAGGGACAGGACAAGGGGAAACGGCCTCAAGCTGTGCCAGGGGAGGGGCAGATTGGATATTGGGGGAATTCCTTCCTGGAAAGGACTGTCCAGCCCTGGCACAGCTGCCCAGGGAGGTTTGGAGTTCCCCCTTCCCTGGAGATTTCCAAGCCCTGTGGATGTGGCACCTGGGGACACGGGGCAGTGGTGGCCTTGGGGAGCAGTTGGACTTGATGGCTTGGAGGCTTTTCCAACCTCAGTGATTCCATGATTCCTGTGATTCCTCCCAGGAACGTTCCTGTTTGCTGTTCAGCCTCAGGTGTTGGGTTTTCATCCCTGTGTGAGGAGCAGCCAGAGCCACTGGGATCCCAGACATTTGGATCCCTCAGGGAATTCCGTAAGGGCTCGGCACTTGCAGGGATCTGTGGGATTAGTGCATCCTTTGAGGGTGGTTTAGGCCTTTCCTGTCCTGTGAGAACCTCAGGAGCCTCTTCCTAACTTTGGGGGGACTGGGTACAGTCAGAGCTCAAGGATCTTCCTGCCGCTCTGGGAAGTGGGAATGTTGGTTGTCCCCAGGCCCTCCAGCAAGATTTTGGGATGCAACACTGGGATCATCATGGACATGAAGAGCTCACTGATGGTTTCCAGACCTTGGTTCTTGTGCAGAGGAGTTCTGGGACACTTGGTGACCCTCAGGAAGGGCAGGAGTTGGGACAGGGGGTTTTTGGGTCATCTCTGTTAAGGGTGATGTGATCCTTGTGGAGATCTCATGGAAAACTGGGAACAAGGCCCAGCAGAGCCTGGAATTTGGATTATGACACTCTTTTATAGGAGCCTTGGGAATTTCAACACTCAGGAGATGATCTTAATTACCTGCCCCGAGGAATGGGGGTGAGGAGCAGAAAAGGCCTCGACTGTGCAGACCCTGATCAGGAGTAACTAAAATATCCACATTATCCACCCTGTTCCCAACAGGGGGTTTGGTGCCTCCAGGGTGGGGTTTGGTGCCTCCAAGAGGAGGTTTGGTTCCCCTGGGATGGGATTTTGTGCCCCCCAGGATGAGGTTTGGTGCCTCCAGGATGGATTTTGGTGCCTCTGGGATGGGGTTTGTTGCCCCAGGGCTCTGCCAGGTCTTCTCCCACAGCTGGAGCTGGAATTCCTCCAGTGGGACATTCCAGACTGAGGTGTTTTTAAGGCCAGGAAGCGTCCAACTTGCACAACCAGAGCTGTGGTGGCTCCTCAAGAGGTGCAAATTCTGCTTCCTGAGGTTTAAAGTCACTGGCATTGGCAAAAATCTTTGGGTGGCGTTGGATGGGCCTTGAGGAACCATTCCATGATTCCATGATTCTGGGTCACAGTTCCTCCATCCCCTGCTGTGGATGTTGAGGACACCAGGAGCACTCAGCCTTCCAGACCTCCTGCTCTCCATGGAAAAGGAGTTTGAGTTCATTTTGAGTCCCTGTGACCAAGTCCTGGGGACTCCAGGCAGTGCCACCCACTCTGCCTCCCCTGTGTCCCCTTCCTGGATTAAACCACGCTCCTGGAATTTGTTCCACGAGGATGCAGCTCTTAAATCAGGATTCATTTTCTTGTTTGCTGAGCCTTTGAGGCCCTGGTGACACTTCCCAGCTCGTGTATCACGACGTGCACTCGCTGCTGCCTTCAGGCTCCCAGCCCACGGGAAGCGCTGTGCCTGGAGTGCCACGTGGATAACGCTGACAGAGCAGGCTGGGAGCTGGGATTTGCTCCCTTGACTTCATCTGTATTCCCTGACAGTTGATATCTTGGGTTACATCCTTGCTCAGAGAAGCTGTGGCTGCCCCTGGATCCCTGGGAGTGTCCCAGGCCAGGTTGGACGGGGCTTGGAGCAACCTGGACCAGTGGAAGGTGTCCCTGCCCATGGCAGGGAGTGGGACTGGATGGGCTTTAAGGTCCCCTTCACCCAAACCAATCTGGGGTTCTATGAATCCCAAGAGCATCCTTGAACTACCCCTCAGGTGACTGCTGCAGGATTTTAGGGTTTTGATTTAGGATTTTTCCATTGGGAAACGCAGCGGGATTGTGTGTGTGTGGAGGGGGGGGGAACAGCCAGTGTGTGATAACACAGTTTGCTCACATCAGGCTCCTTCTCCTGGCTGGGAAACCAATTAAATTGTCATCTGTCCAACCCCACCCTCCCCCGGGAGCAGGGCTTGACTCAACATTTCCGTGGCTTGATTGGGGCGCGTGTGATCCGGGAGGGCAGAGCGCGGGTCCCGCCTCGTGCTGCTTTTCCACAGGGACCATCTGTCTCATTAGCATTATGTAAATTATTGACTCGACTTTCACAGCCAGTTTGAGTCTCATTTTCAACCCTCCGGGTCTTTCTCACCTCACACCCTCACACTCTTCTCCACTCAGGCCCGACGGGCGCTTAATTCTGCCCCAAACCTTGGCGGTCCTTTGAACTCCGGAGTATTCCGAGAACTTGCTGGTCAGCACTGAGCCAGAGGGTTGGATTTGTCACCGGGGAGGTCCTGAAGGAATCGAACATTCCATTGGCATTTCCAAAAATAGGGAGGGTGGCTCGTCAGCTCTTTGCCGCTTGGCTCCCGGGGAAGGGAGAAGTCGTGGAAAGCTGTTGGTGAAAAGCATCTGAGATCGCTCAGCAGATTTAACATCCTGTCAGGAGATGTTGGTCTTGGTGTGGTGCTGGTCCATGGAGTGGAAAAAATCTTACCTAAAATATGTAAATAAAGAATAAAGGAGGAATTGTCTTTATCTGTGTGAAGTCAGTGTCTGCTGACACTGAAACGGAGGAGAATGGGGGTGACGTCGGCTGGAGTGACCTGACATCGAAGGAGATGCACTCCAAGGCCAACCATGGGCTCTGTGATTCATCAGAGGGGTTGACACAGCTCTTAAAATGCATTTTTGGGATAATTTAGGGTCATGAGAACTTGTCTAGGCCTGATGGTCCAGCACAAAGCAGGCTCAGGGGGGACCTTCTGGCTCTGCAAGTCCCTGCCAGGAGGGGAGAGCCGGGGAGGGTCGGGCTCTGCTCCCAGGGAACAGGGACAGGACAAGGGGAAACGGCCTCAAGCTGTGCCAGGGGAGGGGCAGGTTGGATATTGGGGAATTCCTTCCTGGAAAGGGCTGTCCAGCCCTGGCACAGCTGCCCAGAGCAGAGGTGGAGTCCCCACCCCTGGAGGGATTTCAAATCCCTGTGGATGTGGCACTTGGGGACACGGTCAGTGGTGGTCTTGGCAGTGCTGGGGATGGTTGGACTCGATCCCGATGGACTCATGGGCTTTTCCAGCCCTCCTGATTCCCTGGCTGTGAATGGAATGTGGGCACTGCTGTCCCACTGAGCCTCGGGCAAGGGGTGTGTCTGAACCGACACACGGGGACGGGGACGTTTTCGGCCATCCCCTCAACCCCTCCCTCCCTTTGTGTCTTGCAGCTGAAACCCCGATCGAGGAGTTCACCCCCACCCCGGCCTTCCCAGCGCTCCAGTACCTGGAATCAGTGGACGTGGAAGGAGTCGCTTGGAGAGCGGGGCTGCGCACGGGGGACTTTCTGATCGAGGTGAGTGCGACCACAACATCCTCCAGGGCCCGCCTGCTCGGTTTGAGGAGTGGTTCTGAAGAGAGAACATTCATTAATTGATGCTTTGGGGGCTGTGCTTGAAGGAACCTCTAGGAGATGTTGCTGTGGGGCCTGCAGGTGACAGGAGTGTCCTGAGCCAGGTGGGTGTGCTGTGAACAGGCCAAGTCTGGGTTTCTGAGAGCCACAGAGGAGGCTCTTCCAGTGAGGCAGCCAAAGAATGGTCCAGGTGTTGGTCGCTCTGTTGGTCTGTTCCGTGTTCTGGTTCCAAAGGATCCCAGAGATTTTGGGGGTTTCCAACAAAGGTGTGCAGTGATGGGGCAGGAGGGGATGTGGGACAGGTCCTGCCCGTTCCAAGGGAGCGTTGCTGGGATGAGGCCAGGTGGATGTGGAGTCTGTGGAGTGACCATGGATTGGCACA